GGTCCGGATACTGCAATTGGTTCAAAATAGAGCTGCCAGGCTGCTGATGGGGACTGGGAGTTATGTTCACATGACTCCAGTCCTCCGTCAGCTTCACTGGCTTCCCATTGAAGTCCAGGCCCAATTCAAGGTGTTGGTGATGACCTATAAAGCCCTTAACGGCTTGGGTTCTGGTTACCTGAAGGAGCGCTTACATCCATATATGCCTGCCCGCCCCCCCCACCCCTTGAGATCAGCGGGAGAGGCCCTTCTCCGGGAACCCTCCGTGAAGGAAATTAGGAGGGTGAGTACTCAGAGGAGGGCTTTCTCTGCAGTGGCGCCCAATCTATGGAATGCGCTCCCCAGAGAGGTCCGCCTGGCACCACCGTTATTTGTTTTTCAGTGCCAGGCGAAGTCCTTTTTATTCAAATGTTATTTTGATTGTTAATATTAGTTATTCATTTTATTCTTTGGCCAGGGCAACTTAATTTATATTGTTAATTTATATTGTTAATTTATATTATTCTATTTTGAAGTTGGTTTATGGTTGTGAGCCACCCCGAGGCTTTGGCGAATGGGGCGGCATAGAAGTCTCCTAAATAAATAAATATGGGCAAAAAGCTAGCTCACCCAGTGGGGTCTAATGTAATAGAGAGCATCAAGCACTCAGTACCTTTATTTCAGCAAGTGCAATTTTTTCCAGTTATATGAAAAGCAACAATTTTCAAAATAGCTTTTGTACAATAGATTCCTTTCTATAAAGTTTCTTAGGCCACAGTAAATTCCACAGTAAATGAGTCTTGAGATGCCATGAGGCATTGTGGGTTTTGAACACAAAAGAGCAAGAAGCCCCTATTCTCCTCCCAGTCACCTTTCTCTAGCCCAGTTCAAACCCCTTATGTGAAGGCAGACCACCAAAACATGGCCACAGGGATCATGCAAGAAGCTCGTGCATGCCAGAAAGATGATTGCAGAGCCAAGGCGCTCCAAATACCCTCAAGCAAGCTAGCGAGAGCCACTTATACATTACTTTTGCCCTAAGTGCAGATATGGTAGCTTTTTTGCAAGAAAACCCTCTTAGGTTCAATGCCCCATGCATTGTAAAAGGCTTTGGACAGCCTGGAAAAAAAAGCAGTAAATGAGGAAGGCTTCTAGCACTCCATTTCATAAACAAGCAGCTGGTGCACCTGCTTTTCCTTTTATCAGGGATTTGCTGTGTACAGTGTCCCAGGGTACAAGAGCAATTGTCCAGTAGCAATTGGCTGGACAGGACTCTAGAGTTGGCACATAAAAGAAATCTGGGTAACAGTAGTGCTGTTAGACAATTTTAGACAGTGAAAATAATGAGCAGACTATGAAAGAGAAGTGGCAGTCATCCCTCTAGTTTAAAAGGCTGATGCCTTCATGTTACACTCTCTGTTAATATGCTTAAGGGAATGCGTTTTAAGGTTTCCTAGTAAGTGCAAGGCTGATGAGCACAGAAAGAAAAAGCAGGCTTCTGTTAAGGCAGATGATTGCAGTTAGGGCAGCTTAAAAGATCTGGGCCCCATGCCCAGGTGAGTCCTTCTCTAAGGACATCTCTTCACATGAAGAGGCAAACCTCAGGAGATGGCAATGGATGTGAAGATGCCTAGC